GAATGTAGTAAACAAAAGAGTCTTTATCAAGGCTGACCCTCACAATAGAGGTAATAAGATCTGTAAGTTTGATTTTGCAAATTGTAATCTAGTGAATCACTTCTAGGAATATAGCACAGTCTGGCTTCTTCCATGTGATTATGTTGATTCTCATTTGTCACAAACCTCTTCTTCGGGACTCACTCAAGATGAGCCAAGGCTTGCCCCTCACTTTGCATGCTGCTCAAAATCAACATGCAAGCCCACTGATGAAGCCCAAGACTTGTCCATCAACAGGCCATTCTCAAATGCACAAGACCACCACAAGATTAACAACCGAAGGGTCACCTTTCAAGGTGGGACTTTAGACTGTTGAGGGTGCAAGGTATCACAAGCCTGAGTGCAGGTGCAGGACTCCCGCCTGTGGTTAGCACACAAGGGGTTACAGATTACACCAGGTGATAGTTTCGTGGTCCAGCTGCTGCGCTGCACAGCTTCCACCACTGCTCCTGTCCTGCCCCATCCCATCCCAATAATTGTCAACTGACAATTGTAATTGTACAAAGACGCTCACAGTCGCTCATGCCATGCACATGAGAGGCCTTTGTGCCGCCAAAGAATAGAGTGTTTGTGCAGCAGCCATTCAAGCCATTGAATGGCTGAATGGTGTTGCACAAACTGATGGCTAATGGCTTCGCAATTTTTTGTCCTAACCCACTATGAATAGGGTCTGCATCAGGAAAACCTGCCGGGGGGTTTGTTCCCCGGGTAATTATGTTGCACGGGATCGTACACAGTAGCACTGGCTTCGTGTATGTAGCCGCGGTAGTCAACTGTAGTATGGCGGGGATCTCCATCGCGCGATGTTGATCCGGGGTGATGCTATGTCGAAATACCATGCCACCTGCTCTCCCTGGTAGCACCACATTTTTGTTGGCCAAGCAAGTGCCCGTAAATTGCCATTGAAGCTTGACTGCGACATTCGATGAGGTGAATTAACCTCATCCGATTTGTCTGACTTGAAAGATGTGCAGACACTGGCGCGATCGGGTGAGCCTCAAGGACTTTACATTGACTTCAAATGAGCAGTCCGTAGCTTACCCTTGGCTCCGTGTTGACCATACATACATAGGCACCAATGAACGCGAACAGACTCGGAGACAAGTTGAAGTCATTCGAAGTCTGATTGGCGGCCGATACTCGGCCGATCAAAGTTCTTGACAGATGGTTACGGATGGCGTGATTTTGACATTTTGGTTCGTCGTCTCTTCTCTCCTCCCACCACCATCTCTCCCCCCCGCTGCCTCTCGTGCTCCCTGCCTTACCTGATTCACCTGGCTCCTCTCTCGCACTTTCAAGCACCTGCAATCACAACCTGTGCCCTTCAAGAAGCTTAAAGTCCTCAAGGTGACCTTCAAACGGCGTCCCGAATCCTCAAATCTGTCCGGATGTCAAGACCCGTCAAACTGAGCAACACACCTCGAACTGCCCCCACTTTCGCCACTTCCTCCTCCCGCGGTCTCCCCGTCCCTCTTGTGCCCCTGTTGTGGAAGTCAAAGGTTGTATCTTGTTGTGTTGCTCCAAAAGCATTGTTCAAGTCCCAACCCGCAACCGCGCCTCTGGCTCCCAAGTATTGCAAGGATATGTTGGTTCATCAGATACATCGATGAGCCCCAGTATCAAGGTATGTGAACCTACTTTATCTCTTTTCATACACTTCTCATGGCATCCCGCCGATAGATCCTTAGTCGTTCGTCGTACCGGTGATGTGTACACCCCAGTAGATTCATCGTATCGTCGTTATCCCTGTTGTTCCGTTAGAATTTATTCTTTTTACTACCCATTCACTGCCCGACGGTTCAAATATGCCTTGCTACCTCAAATACAAGGTACTATCGGTGCATACATTGGCTATGTGACTACGACACTACAGGACTACGGAGTGATCTGTAGTTGGCCCGTCTGCTACAACTCCCTACACTTCAGGGGGGTAACGACGGCACTACCGCAACTACATCGACTATGTTGTACGCCGTACTCACCGGCATTTTTCCTGATGTGTACTTCCTACTCTACCCCTCCTCGACCCTACACAGAGTGTCACAATCCTCATAATCAAAGCCAAGACTGGGAGGTTGACTCCCGAGGTAGGCTGTGCACTGTGAATAAAGACACGGGGGCCTGAATGGCTGCTGCGCAAACTCGCTAATGATGTTCCGAGGCTCAGTTTGTGATTGATCTCCCAGTAAAATTATCGCAACCTCGTCCACAGTCAGAAAGTTCCCCCACCATGCACGGACACCAGGGGCAACATGCAGACACAGCAGATGATCCTCGCAGTCTAACGCCCTTGCCGCCTCCACCCGACACGCCACAGCCTTTCATTGGCAGCAGGCGATTGTAACCTACATGCAGCATCACAACATCTACGAGGTGTAGGCCTCTCTCTGTACGTCCCTCACACTCCTGCTCACACATCTTTACAGTGGTGCTGCTGGTGCAACAGTACAAGCGCACACTCGAGCTCAAGGCAATGATGTGCCAGCTTGGGATTGAAAGCAAGGTGGAATTTGGTGGCTGGCTTGAGGCATTAAAGGCCGCAAGCCCATTGAGGAGACAATCAGATGAAGTATTACCAGAAGCTGGTGAATCTAGCTGAGCTCAAGTATGTCCTCGCCGTCGTAGACCTTTACTTCCCACTTACTCTCATCTAGGGCACACCTCACCAATGGTTGTGTCAAGAATGCATTACCACAGTAACTATTGCATTGAGTATTGCAATACTTTGGGAACTTAACTGGAAGCCACAAGCCGTGTAATGCATTACCGTGCATTCGCGATTAAATCCCCGGCCGTCACCCACATCAGCCTATGCCGCTTATGTGAGCGTCTCGGCCACACGTCCGCATCAGCATCTGACCCTCCAAGTGATGGCCTGCGTCGCCTAACCCGTCGGTGCCCCGAATGTTGTCGAAAACAACCCCGGAGCGTGCCGGGTTTCTCCCACGCTGCTCCAGCAATTACCAGACAATTACTTATGTAAAATCCCGGGCCTCAAAAGGAAATCCGCTACTGGTACATGTCGTTCTCGATCTCCTCTCGGTCGTAGGCCAGCGCCTCCGCCCATCGCATGCTGTCTCGGTCAATCTCCACCACAATCTCCCTGCCCCGCAATGTCCTTGCCCGCCAAATACTCCGCTCGCTCTCGTATTGGCCCGGCCCCCACTCCCGTCACAGCTTCTCACACGTCTGCCTCTCCCTGTCGGCGTGCTCCAACACATACGCCTTCACACCCTCGGCAACCTCCAGTGTAGTAGCCGCAGTCGTCCCCAGCATCACCGTCCGCGCCGATGCCCTCGCTATCCACCGCTGCTTGGCCCACACACCATACTCGATGGTCCTCCTCATCTCCTCCTCGACGAGCACCAACTCCTCCCGCCACCGCCTCGATCTCGAGTAAGCTTTGCACCACTCCACCCGCAGGGCTGCCAATATCACCGTCAGCATCCACCTTGTACTCATTCCAAGCCGCCACTCACCCTCGTGCAATTTCTCGTCTTCACCACCCAGCTTCGACGCGATCCAAGACAGGGTTCTGTGTGTCTCCCCCGACACCACATCGCCCGCCGCCGCAATCCCCCCTTCATCCACCACTTCCTCCGCCTCGCGCAATCGCTCTCGCTCCGCCTTCGTCAACGCCCGCTCATTCAACGCCCGCACGTCGTCTTCCGTCAAGATCTCCAACTCCTTCTCCCAATCCCCATGCTCCTTCAACTTCAGCAGGCAGTGCCGCGAGTAGCGATAGCGAAGCTTGCATCCATGTATCTTCAGGTTAACCAGACACAAAATCCCCTGCCCGCGCGTCAGCGCACGCTGCCCCGACCAGTTCCGAATTTTGAATCCTGTCGTCGCTGTTCTCGTTCTCAGTCCGTCGCGGAGGTCATCCAGTGCCTCCCGAACCTCGCCGTCGCGCAGCCGCGCCTCCACTCCATCCAAGCCCTTTGCACACGCTCTTTTCCGCACCGCACCACTTGACAGATCGGACGGCATGAACAGCCTCTGGGACTCGGGCTCCTTCCCCCCCGAATCCCACTCCACGCGCTGCGCTTGGGTGAGGTGTTGACGAATGTTTGGCATGAACCTCGCTTGCAGCTTCCTAAAGGCCTTGATCCGCCCGCGAAGCTGTGTCCTTCGTTTTAGGAATTCGAGCTCCTGCGTCGTCGTTGGGTGCGGCCCAGCGGCGCGGATGTCCACCGCAAGATCACCTGCCACTACCGAATATCTAAGGTAATTGCCTAGACTTTGTACCCCCTAAACTCTTGGAGCTTACCTTGCGCCTTGCGGGCGGTCACCCCCACAGCGTCTCCGCGGCCCTAAGAGGGTATATTGGGGGTACATGTACACTCTACCGACGCCTTTGGCGAGGGAGGGTATACATGTAGTATGTTCCTGCGGTGGTCGGTAGACGCGACCCGCGCAGGGTGTACATGTAGGTGTTTCGGGTGGTGCTGGGTAGACGTCCAGGCGGTCGGGTGTACACGAGTGACCTGAGGGTGTACATGTCATATGTGCTCACGGTAGGGTAGACATATCGAGTTGATGGTACACCTATACGTGCTTGCGATGGTGATGGGTAGACCTCTAGCTGGTAGGGTGTACACAAGTGACTTGCGGGTGTACATGTCATGTGTACTAGGGGTAGGGTAGACATGCCGAGTGGTAGGGTGTACACAAGTGACGGGGCGTGTACATGTCATGTGGACTCACAGTAGGGTAGACATACCGAGTTGATGGTACACCTAGATGTGTTTGCGCTGCTGCCGGGTAGACGTTCCGCCAGTAGGGTGTACAGAACTGACTTGGGGTGTGTATGTCACAGTTCTAACGGTGGCGGGTAGACACTGAGGCGGTAGGGCGTACAGAGTAAAATGATTGAGAACGACCCAATAGAAATCAAGGGGAAATGTGAGTGGAACGGCAGGTAAGGGCAGGTGAAACAAAATATGCATATCAAGCCATCAAGCCCTCGGCCGGAATCGAACCGGTGTCACCCACATGTATCGGGTTTGGCTGTCGCAACATATGTGGGGGCGCTACCACTGCGCCACAAGGGCTTTTCAAAGGCGCCGGCAGCACAGACCACATCACACAAGCGGTCAGAGCAAGAGGAGAAAGATAAAGAAAAAAAAAGAAGAAAAAAAAAGAAGAAAAAAAACATACACTTTCCTTATGCCCTTGGCCGGAATCGAACCGACGCGGCCTACATAAGCGGATTCGACGGGCGCAAACATTTGTAAGTGCGCTACCACTGCGCCACAAGGGCTTTGACACTGGGTGGGCTGCACAGACCACATCATGCTACTCATCATCTGACCATGAACAAGCTATACATAGGAACTGAACACCAACGTGAAGTAGACATATGTAAAGGTAGACATACTTAATGGTAGACAGGGTACAAAAACGTCGTGGAGGGTAGACAAAAGACAAAAAACACTAGTCTGCATCGTTCGAGGCCACGAAGACGGTGTGAAGCTCCTCGGCGAGTTCCTCCCCCTCGGCCCTCTCACCGACATCATCGTCGATGTCGCGTTCCTCATCGGCAAGACCGAGCGACTCCATACGACTCGCAAGTTCCCTCGCAAAATGCTCCTCGGCACCTGTATCCGTGGCCTCAGGGTCTGGCACTGGCACTGGCTTCTTCAGGCAAACCCCCGGCGACAGCGTCCCTGTGAATCGTGTCCCGGCCTTCTTTGCCAGCCTTCGGAATCTCTCCATGTGCACCGAATTGTATCTGCTCCTCTCGAACCGATGCTTCCGCATCGCCCAAGCCAGCCCTGGATCACTAGCTTGCGTCTTCGACTCCATCTCTGCAAAGAATTCGGCCTCGTCCCGGATATGTGTTACAAGTCGGCGGATTTCGATGTTGCATCGGATAATCTCCTCCCGGGCCCGTTCGATCTTGAAGTACTTGTCGAGCAGGAGACGCGCTGCTGGAGTTGCCCACTCCCGAACTTCTCCAATCTTCTCTGGGTCCCGCAGCAAGTCAAAGTCAGCCAAAAACGCATATTCGACCACCTCCGACCAGGTAAGCGTTCTTCCGGATGGGACGATAGATCCGGCGGCGGCGTTGTAGGTTTTCAAGGCATTTCGAATAGCTTGTGAGCGCGCTTGGAGTGCCTTGGCAATGTGTTTTCGGAGTTTGTACCCTGTACACCGTCAGCTCCGTCACTTGTTAAGCGGCAACAAAGACATACCAGTCTGGGACAAGTTCATCTTGGTGAGTTCAAACATCCGCTGAATCACGAGTCTTTCCAGCTTGAGCAGGGCAAGGCGATACCGGCGGGTGCTGACAAGATGCGCCGCCTCTGCCCACTCCGGACCCTCCGGTACCCAGCGCGTTTCTACACCCATTTTCATCTCGCTCTCCTGCACCTCCCCGAGCGCCTTATCGTAGTTCTCGCGCGCATGCCTTCGGGCAGTCGGCGTCGCAGTCGACGCCTCCGCCATCGAGAGGTCAAGTCGGATCCTGTAGGGGTAGACACGGTGGTGGCGGAGGGGGGTACACCGCGTTCAGGGTAGACACGTCAGCGGCAGAGAATTTAGAGAACGCAGCTGCGTACCGTCTGTCGGCGAGGTTGACCAGCCTCTGATAGTACTCCATCTGCGCCGTATCCTCCTCTGCCTCGACCATCAAACCCTTCAGAAACTGAAACTCGTCGTCGAGTCTTGATGTGAACTCCGACTCATCCTCAATTCCTGCCGCTCTCATCGCGGTCCGAAGCGCGGGCTCCCCCTCGAGAATAACGAGTGCTTGCCAGTAGTTGTCAACGAGGAATTTGCCTGCGATGGGTTTCAGTAAGAGCAAAGGTGCAGATAGTAAGACACGGAGGTAGACACGGTGGCTGCGGAGGGGTAGACAGGTAGAACTTACTGAGGTTGGCATAGGTTTCATGGGAGTCGAAGTATGCAAAGTACGTCGTGAGGGCCTGCAGCCTGTGAAAGGCGCTGGCGTAGCGGACAGAGCCGGCATTGGCGTTCGACCGGGAGAAGAACCGCTCGCAACCTTCAAGGTCCTCCAGGCCCAGCCCCTTGATGTACGTGGCGAGGAATTTCAGCTGGCAAAGTCGATTATGGGCATGGCCGTGGAAGGCACCCACCATGCAGCAGAAGTTCTGCAACAACGCCCGAGAGCCCAGCGGACTGTTCCAAAGCGTAGTTGCTAACCCACAGCCGACATCGAAGCCGCCGGCGATACCAGCGCCGAAGGCATCGAGGAGCTCTTCCACCACCGCAAGGGGGTACTTCGACCTATGCAACAATGGCTCAGACAGGTGCTTCCACCGGAAAACGACCGGAAAAACAAGGGAGACTTACAGTTCGCCGCTTCTGACCATATCTGCGCACGTCAACACGGAGCCGTGCCTGCAGAGGCAGAGGAAGATCCCCGTTTCGTCGTACACCGCCCACATCTTCTTCGAACCGTCGTCCCCCAGGTTTTTCCACCGGTCCTCGCACGCTGACTTGTCCTCGACCGTTTTAGCGCGTCCCATGTCCTTCAAGCGTTCCCTGTCCCACATGTTCACCCGCTCCCGCGGTATGAAGTAGTCCCCGCCAGCCTCTGTGGTACGCGGATCGAATCTTTCGCTGGAGACGCCGGGGAGGGGATCCCCCTGCTCGTCAAAGTCTTGCGGTTCCTTTCGAAGCACGCGCTTGAGGGAATTGTTCCCGTCCATCGTTGTCATCATGGAAAAGGTGAGTGGCTCCTCGTCCTCCAGCTTGTACGTGCAGGATGCGCAGTTGTTCTTGATGCACCATTTCGGGTCGTCCCTGCCCAGCGCACGCATCACCCGCAGCTTCGTGCTCTTGAGGACGGCAAGGTAGACATCGGCGATCGTCTTCAGCCAGGCCTGGATCGAGAGTTGTGGGGTCCGCAGGTGCGCGACGCGAAAGAGTTCCAGGAGAGGGATCGAGAACGCGACGGAGGGCTTGAAGGGCGCACACGGAACCAGGCCGCGCAAAATGAGAGCTGATGCGGTGAAGACGTCTGTCCTCCGCAATGGCACCCCGACTGTGTACGTTCCTAACGGCGGCAATGAGTACGACAATGGGGATTTGAGCCGTTAGTTGACTCACTGAAGATATCCACTGCGGTAATAACAAGTTCCTTCAATACCTCGGTCTCAGGTACAGGGGGAAGAGGCATATCGAGTCGGCCTCCGACTGCTCGACCCCACTCGAGATACGCGTCGGTGAGCGTGGACATTTGCCCGTTGAACGTGTTTGCTTGCTTCGCAATGAAGTCGCGGCGCTTGCGCAAGTCCTTCGGCCTGCTGTCCATGCAGATCGCCTCAATTCAAGACTGCAGGAAAGAAACAAGCACACACCTTTTCCGACTCTGGTTCCGTTCCTCCCGCATTGAGGCCTCCAGCGTGTCTCTGAATTCCCCAGCCGCCCCGCTCTCGAGTAGCTCCGAGTCGCCCGCGAAGAGGTTCTCTAAGTCCATTTCCACATCGTCCTCCCAATCGTCGGCTACGTCACGTAGTTTATTGAAGACCAGTCTGGCCGCGGCAGATCGAGCTGTCTTGAAGTGAGCATAAAGGTTGCTTGAGTTCAAAGTGGATGCTCACCGGCGTATTGCTCCTGCATAAGCTTTTGGGTGTCGGCACGATCCCTCTGCAAAGCCCTCAAATTCAGCGTCTTGACAGCAGCCTTGCGCGCGCCATTGACTGTAAAGACTGAGGCCGATGTTCGGACCTTGGGGGGACGGATGGAGCGGACCTTGGTGATGGCCATTTTGAGCGTGGTGGTGGTAGACGCAAAGGTTGTTGATGGGCACGTGTGCGAGCGTTCGTGGCTAAGGGTAGACAGTTGAGAAATTCACGAGTAGACAATGCACCCAGGGTAGACACACCATCGTCCGGGGGTAGACACACCATCGTCAACTTAGCGATTTTGATGCCAACGAAACCTGTCGTTTCTTTTTCACAACCACCACCATGAACGCTTCCCCAGGTAAATTCCCATTTCAACCTCGACCCTCTTCCTTCTCAACGCAGCTTCCGACGCCGAAATTCATGGTGTGGTGGTACTCGTGCCCGGGAACATAGCGCCATGAGAAGTACGCGTCGAAGTTGCCTTTTTGCCTTTGCCACCCTACCCCGTTCCAGCTTTGTTTCTGACACGACTCCTCACAGGGTTATTCAATATCTTGGACATTTTGGATGTCAATTTTCGCGTGGTGAGTCCTTTTACGTCTCACCCCTTTAATCCTTGGTCAACAATGACTTTCAGACGCGCTCCGGACGCGCCTTTTCTCCCTGGGAGGCCGAAGCCTATACCAGTCCAATTTTCAGTATTGCCACCGCCGTGTCAGACGCGCTGGACGCCGCTGCGGACGAAGACCTCGCGGAGCCAGATTCGGTGGAAGCGACCCCACAGGTCACGCACCCAATTGCCACCCAGCAAACTGAATTCTTGGACGCGTCAAATACCTCTTCCGACGCGTCAAACGACGCCACCAATCCCCGCGCGCGTCCGACCCGTCTCGAGCGTGACAAGGGTGGCTCCAAGCGTCGACGAAAAGCAGCTCGGGACGCTCTCAAGGTTAACCATCATGTCGAGCTCCGTCCCCCTGCCCAGCGGCCGAAACATATCAAGAATGCCGGCCCCACTGTCAAAACCAAACTCGACCTTGTGAAGGAACACGTCGCGTCGACTGGGTGGATTGGCCTACGCGACTCTGGTCAGTCCAAACAGGAGGAAGGGGCCGGTTTTGAGGAGTCCGGCTGGGTGCCGACCCACACGCTCCTCGAGTTTTTCGGGCCGAAGCCCGTGTGGCCCGACTTCAAATTGATGAAGTACCTTGGACCGTACGTATTCGCCACAAGTCGTACCTAACTCGCACTCATTTCCTCACAGGCAAGCCCGACCTATCCTTGACGCGTCCGGACGTATCTTCGGCCTTGCGGGCGGTCATCCCAACCACCCTCGCTGGATGAAGGAGGTGCATGACCCGGCAGTAGCCGCAATGGAGTCGGCCCGAGCGCAGTGCAAGGTTTCAGAGGCGAGGGCTCACCACCGTCGAGGCGCCTGGCCGCCTTTGTCCGCTGGTGATTCCTTTGGTGGAGGGCAGGAACGGCCGGGGGCGCTGGTCAACGGTATCATCAACACGGCCATCCTCTGCTCCCTCATGAGCAACATCGCGTTTATTCGTCTGGCGGGTTTCGCCACCGGTAGGAATCCATGGCTGGTATTGTTTTACTGTCCCACTGACTGCCTTACAGGTCTGTTTGCCAACTGGGCCCCCAATCTTTTCGAGTA